TGTTCAAAAAACCCATGAATTGATTTAAAATTTTGCAGGTATCTTTTTAATAGTAATAGGAATCTATAATAATAAATTCAACATGCTAGCATTGTTTGAGCGTATAGCCTATACATCCTTAAGTTGTGACAAAATACAGAGAATATATGTACATTGTGCAAATAAATGTACACCTTGCTCCTCGAGATTTGCTCATTTATCGAGGGAAGTACAGCCGAAGGGCAATGGTTTCGCGTTGCTTTGTCCTTTCGACTCTCTTCCCCGAGCCTGTCTTAACCGCTTTCCTTTCTATCTCGCTTCTCGTTCCAAACTCTCGTCCTCTTCACGCTTCGGCCTCCTTCCCTGCAAATTTACAATGCCCTCGCTTGTAATAAGCAGTTGCGCGCTTCGTTCACGATTATGAGCTCACTTCAGGTACCGAAGGGATTTATCGAGTTAAGGCCCTATCCGAGCATACAACCCCAAACTGTGGACGCATCTTCGTCCAACCGAGTCATTGGAAGAATTCTGAAGAATTTTCCGTCTCTTTTATCTCTGCCGGCTGCCATTGCACTTGACATTTGAAAAATATTGAATGATATGCAGAAACAATTTTTTTCAATGCTCCTAAATAATTAAAAGAGTTCATGTCCCTTAACTACATAACGAATGACTGTAAAAAGATAAAAACGACACGAATATGTTGCAATATTTAATAAGATACTAATTAGACTAGTGGCAATAAAAGTTACGTAAAACGCGTGACATTTCGAACAGTTATGGAAACTTGTCCGCGAGAAATTGCAATCTGATTAGATGCATGCTATATAGGTATAGCTGTATACTAACAGAAACGAATCTTAGAATTTTTATTTCGCGATCTTTGACTAAATATGATCTAAAGAAGCGATCACGCATTTCTTCAATCGGAGGAACTACCGAACCGGAACCCGAAAACACAACATTGTCTGAACGAACTGCTATTGAAATCAATTTCATCTCTTTCGAATCTAATTTATTGTAGAAATGAATAATTCTGATTAATAAATGAATGGAAACGAATCTAGGTATTTTTATTTCTCGATCCTTGACCTAATGTATCTAATGATAATATAATGAAAATATGATCTAAAACAGCGATCATACATTATTTTAATCGGTGAAACTGCCAAACCGGAAGCCGAAAACATAATATTGTCTGAACGGACTGTTCTTGAAATTAATTCATTTGTTTCGAGCCTATTTTATTGTAGCTTTGTATAAAGCAGTACATATACAAGGGACGCAGGATTTTCTGTTGCAGGTTGATGTGCTCGAAGGTGTATTAATCATCTTTAATTACTCGTACTAAGTTTCACCGATATCTTCTAAGACATGTCGAAAAAAATGCTAATTTAATGTAATGAATGCTAATGTAACCGTCTATAGTCTATGGTATTCGATCCATTTACATTATTCGTGTATTTTTCTTACTTTACTATTGACACAGACATGCTTTTTCATTGTTTATCTCTTATGAATTATGTACATCCTTATATACTGCGTATATACTACGTATGCGTTTTCATTGTTAATCTCTTATGAGTTATGCATATCTTTACTAAATATATATTTTTTCATTAAATACATTACACATTATACTTATAAATCGATTGATTTGTCCAACACTGGAGAAGAATATTATTACGCAGTGACAAGCCAGAATGAAGAGTTCAGACAGACACGTTCCTCTTGAACCGCGTGGAGTAAAGGAAAAGGATTAATGACCGGTTCCTTAAGTACCTGATGCTTTTGAATAGCTGGGAAGATTAGGGATTCGAAGCGGTAGCGTGTACTAGGATTTTGTAAAAGGGACACGTACACCACATGTGACAGCTCCAGTCCAAACATATCGTGGGCAAGTTAGAACTCATACAACTGAACGCGGCACCGTCCGTCTTTCGCTTCTCGCAAATCACTTCGGAATCTAAAGAGAATACGCACATTCGCTGCTGGGAGATCTGTGTTCTCCCCGATTTTATAAATCGTTTTCGGAAGATATCATATGTAAAAATATTTTACCAAATCTAAGGCATATTAATTAGTCGTATGTTTAATTAACTTTTTTCTTCTTCGGATAATTTTTCTTATAAAAGTTCCAAAATAGAATGAAATTAATCAGTAGATCGACTATTGCCATCGTGGACATAACTTCAGCTCCGGGACATGAGGGACTGTAAGCCATCGACAAATGGATAATTAAGAACCAAAACTGCACCTAGTTAACAAAAAATGATTTATACTGTTAGACAATATTTCTAAATCCAACTTTTTGTTTTGTCGCATTGTCTTCGTATTTATATTCTCGTTGCTTACCATTTGTATGATGGTAATCGACGGTTTGATGAAATTCGATATTCTTTGCGTCGATTGAAATGACGCAAGTAGATAGTACGTGTACATTATTACATGTACCGCACAATTCACGCCCAAGACTATTATAGGTATTGCGGAGCAGTAATATTTAAGAAATATCCAAAAGAAATAGGCTGTCGATATATGATGGTACAAGTGCAAGAACGTAACTTGTCGTTGTTTCTTTCTAAACACGAACAAGATCGTCTCGACGTAATCGATCAGTTTTAAACAAAGTATGTACCATGTTATGTTACTGAACTGAAAATCATGTTATTGTTTTTGTCATTCACGTACATACATATGCATGTATACATATTATGCATTATCTCCTACTGTTTAACACGGAATTACAATAACGCAGGAATTGATTCTTAAATGGGGCAGACGTGTAATATTTAAATTTTATTCAAATCTCACCTTAGTGTTTTGAGGATTGACCGAGTAGTCAGCTGGCTTGCACGTGAAAACATGATCTCGGAACCATCCTGCTTCCACTAAGCTATACACTGCCCACGTGTTTATCGCGATTTGAAAGATATTGTAAAACATGATGAACGTGCGAAAATTGTATGCGGGTTTGTCTTTCATATAATTTGGCCCCCATTTTAGAACGACGTACAAATACACAATTGAAACGATAGTGATTGGAACAGGAGAGCTCACTATTGCCCAGTGATTCGTTCTCGGATCTGTTAAATTTTTTATAATTGTTTAAATGTTTGATCCAAAACCCAATCATCTTAACACTCACCAGCTACTTCCGTGTTCAAATAATGGTACAGCCTTAATAAACTCATGGTTATATCTTTTCAATTTTCTTGTGACCACAACGCGTTAACGCTCTATGAGTATCTACTAAAAGTTTACTATGCGTGTCTCGGCGATATATATAGTAACTTCTTTTGCGTAACAACGCGTCATCAATATTCATTCTAGATTAATTAACATACATAACACAATTTTTCGCTTTTGTAGGTACGAATAAATTTAACAACACATGAAAACTATCACATTAGCATTATTACTATTAGAAGCCAGAAAAAAGATCGCAATATATTTTGTCTATTTAGTCCGGAAATAATTTTGTTACATAAATCGTACAAGAAAACGTATCTTCGTAAGTAGAAATCGCATAACACATTCGAGCGGGAGAGCCTAGGAGAGGGTGTCACAGTGTCGGGCGGCGATGAAAAATTTGCCAATTAAAAAAATCTCATTTCTCCGGGTAACGAGGGACGATGCGCAATTAATGTCAGCGGCGAAAATGATTTATGGGGTGAGAAGGGGAGGATGCGGGTCGCGTAGGCTAGCTTATCATAAATTAATGAATTATCAGTTCGCTGGCAGCGTCGGGTGCACGAGGGAGAAGAGGAAAGCCGCACTCGCGCACGCTACGTCAGTACGGTATTTAAAATATTCATCGGTATACTCCCGTGTACAAGAAATTTTCTCTAAGCCGTATTTATATCGCGTAAAACTTTTATGCGTTTCAGTAACTTTCGTTAGGGTGAAAGCAACGCTAAGAAAAAATAGTGGATAGTGTACAGCGGTAGATTTTCTCTGTACTACCGAACGATCATTATTCATCTGCTTGGAACATGCGAAAAGGATAATAACATCATGAAGTATAAAATTTCCTTACATATTCTAAATAAACATTACTTGAATATTTAAACGAATTATTCATGAACATAAAAACATTGGCATAGATACCGCTATTTTTACTCACGCCATAAGTGCATAGTACAATTTTTTATTTACTGCATAAAATCAAATAAAAATCCTTTATAAAGAGGATTGCACGATTCCTGCATCGTCGACCGCGTTTACGATGGACACCGTGGATCGTTAGCTGGCCAGCGCGCGTCGCTACCATCGCCAACATGGCCACGTGCTAAACGTGTTTACGAGAAACTGTGTCATCCTCCGTTAATTTTTCTCGCTCGCGATACCCGCGGAAGTGTTCAGACGCGAGATTACGACGTCGAAGAAGCCTCACAATGTCACACGTGCGTATTGTCTGACAATCGTCAACGCACTCCTCGTGGGCATGGCCGGCGCGGATGCACCCGTACCGAGGTGCACCTGCAACGTCGGGAACCTGGCTACCTGTTCTGCTGTCAACGAGGGTGCACCCACCAACCGAGCCATGAGAAGTTACAGGCCGCACGGAAGCCTCGCCAGAGTACTGTACGACAAGCAGAGAGCCGATGAACAACTGGAAGCTTACGACAAGACTCAGGTTAGTCGCATCGTTGAATCTAGGTTACGTCCCTCGACGAATTCCAGGCAATTAGCCTTCCAAACCGCGCGCAACACCCACCGTGCTCCTCATACCGCCGCCTGAGAGTCTGATCTCGCCGGCCTACAGTCGTTACGTAAACTATAATATTGCATGCGCATTTTTTCTTAACTGATTTCAATAAGTCAAACTATTTTAATACGTTTCGACGACGTGACATCACTTCGTCGAAAATCAATCTTTGTAAATTGACAATTATGAGGAAACTGTCCGACAAATTTACCTCATTTATGTCATAGTAGTTGGAAGTATAAACTGAATTTACCATGTATACATTTAGCCTAATGTGAAATGTTCATTTTAAAATCTCTGTTGACAAGAATATAAAAGAGTGGATAATGAATTTCTTACTACGCCTTAAACTGATTACGGTCATCTTATATACATATGTAACGAGCGATATCGCCTAATGTCACGAAAAAAAGCTTTGTTATCTCAGTTAGTAACTGGGTTCGACTTCGATGCAGATCCAAATACGTTTTATAGAAAGCCAGAATTTGTACAACGATAAGATAAAGAAATTTCGAGTACGATCTGTTTCACACGCGTTATTATTGTATCTTCGATCTTCCCATATCTGCCGCTTTATAATATGTAATTAAGTCAACATTGGGCAGAGAAATTTCTTTCTCGAGAACGCGAATCTGGTTTCCGTGAGTGCTGGCCGGCTGGTGCGTTGCTACGGGCCAGCAGGGTAATTGGGTTGCCGGGGGAGGAAGCGGCCAGGGCGAGGGATAAGGCGAGCGGTAATAATTAGTACAATTACCGCACAAGGCCGACCACTGACTATCCACCTTTTTCCTCGAGGAACGCTCGTGAGTCGTGAGCGTGCTCGGTAATTACGGGATAATTACGTCCTCGATATTCCTAAAACATCTTTGAACGATGCTCCGGGCCACTGGCCGCGTTTCGGTCTCCCTACTCGTGAACCATCTTCTTTTCCACGGTCCTATCACATAAGTACGTATTTGCAGTCATGTAGCAGTGAAGCATTATTTTTCTGTAATAATATATTGCATCGCGTTACGGTTTTAAATTAATGCTCCTCTCGCAATCCTATTTTAATCATAATTGTGATCGTGCTGCATTTGCTGTAAAGCTTTCAGGCTTCTGAAACTTGGACTCGTTTCACAACTTCAATTCTATTAATATCAGCAATCATCGTGTCATGGTTCACGTTTCAACGTAAATTAACAAAGATTACTGGAACTTGTGATACTGGTTGGCAGAGAATCTTTCAATTCTAACTAGGATACGGATTCTTGTGCTAAATAAAACATTAATTTGAAGAATTTAATTCAAGTAGAAGATTTTTTTATCATTTAACTATATTAAAGTTATTTAAAAATCCGCAGTAGATAATTACAATATTTTTACATAAATACATTACATAAATATGTAAAATCAAATGAAGATCCACTTAATTTGGAAGATCGTTCTAATAGATACCTGCGACATTATAAAAAACAATTTCGAACGCGTCCTCGCGCTTTCACGTAGCCGCGAAAAGAAGGGAACACCCTCTTAACGTTCGTTTTCCATTACGCCGCACGAAATCCGCGAGGAAAGTCGGGCGCTCGTCTGATCGCGTATTTATTCATCTAGCCGGAGAAAGAAGCTTTTATCGGTGTTTGCGAGAATCTTTCGCGCGACAGAGAGCAAATCGATTCCTCGAGCCAGTCCAGGTGCCCTCGCAGGGAAAAAGGGAAGAATCCCATTCGGTCGCGTGAAACGAGAAATTTGAAATTCGTGCGCCGGTACACACCCCCCGGGAGATTTCAAACCCCTGCGAGCGAAATCGACGCGACGTCGCCGTTCCCTTGCCTTTCATCCCCCGTCACGTCGCGGCGTCGCCTAATATCCCTGAGCAGTCGGAAAACTTTACTCTCAGACCGAGTGGCGTAGATGCGACTCGGTGCTGTTTTAAGGTTTTTAAAAGACTGGCACACCGTCGGTTTCCGCCGCGGATTCCCGCCGATGGGACGGAGAAACGAGGGAGGCTAGCGAGGGGTGCTGCGCTGCTCTGAAATATTAAGTGACTGATGGATGAGACTCCTGAGGGTGGAAAGGAGAAAGCCAGGGACCGGGATAGCTACGCGGTACCGTAGTAAGTAGCTACCGGCCGTGACGGTTCCGTTCTTTCACGCCTCCTGACCCTCGGCTTCCTGTCCCATTTCGTAGGAATTTTAACTCGCCTTAACCACGGTAAAATACGTTTCTCTCAAGGTTTTCTACTAAAATCATTAGACGTCATAAAATATGTGCAATGTGCATAAGAAATTCAGAGAATTGTTTTGAAAAAATATAAAAAAATATTTTCATAAAGCATGCCTCGGGAATATCCTGCGTTCCTCACAATTGAGAATATGTTTGATTAACATATTTCAAAGAACGCTTGAATTTAAACCGACTACTGTTTTAGCAAGTTAAATTTAAATCTGACTTGTATTGAAATAGCCAAGGATTTAGAGCCCACCGTTTGTGTTTCTTATTTTATGCATTATTAGTCCATGTATGTTAATTGCAAACGGCATTTACTATTGTGACACATTTCAAAATCATAATCGTGGTCAAAATCATGTAAAAATGTATCACAGTTATCCGCTATTCGTCGTTTAAACAATTTGCAACCAACAACCAATGATAATGTAGATAATAACTGATCAGGAATTATTTTCATGACTCGCGAGCAGCCGGGAGGATAATTATCCAACGGTGTTTAAGCGCTATTATCCCATTTTATCTACTGCTTCTTTCTCCTTACACCTTCTAACTTCGGAAGGAGATGCGTCTATTATTAAAACGTGAAACCATGCAATCCGTCCCCCAAGAAAATACAGGCATCTTGAGAAAAAAACGCGACTGACAAAGACGTCAAACTATCCGTCACCGTCAGCTGCCGCGCATAAAAAATCGGCGAACGAGAAAAATAAACGTACGCGGTCGCGATTTATAGACTTCGTTGCAAGCCCGGAGATAAATCTCGCGTATGATATGCAAATACGAGCTGAGGTACTTGGCGGCGAGCGACAAGCACGTGACACGCATGAGTCTCGGGCTAAATGACAATGTAAATAATATCAAGTCGCGATCCTTGTTACGCGGTACCGACCAGCGTATAAACTTGTTAACAAGCAAAGATCGCTATTGTTTTAGTTGATAATTTCTTCTTTTCAAAGTTTAAGACAATAATAATTGTGTCACGTTCTATGATGATAGGTTCCTTGATTAAAGTGCTGAAGCACGCCTTGATCTTACTTACTAGGCCGCGAATATGTGGGAAGAAACGAGAATGAGATATGAACTCGACGATCTCCTTTTGATCCTTTTCTTTCTATACGTGTTTGTGTATACTGTAAAATTACTTATGTAGGATCTTACCTATTCGTTATCGTACTATTGGCCGAACGCGATTTCTGCAGAACCTTAAACTTGCAGAGTCCAACATCTAACTCACACGATTTTCTTGCAGTGCCGTTTTTATACCCCGAAACCATAGTCACTAATAACATACCGTGTCCGTGTCATTATTACCTTACAATTATACGTAAAAGAATTGAGCAGTTGAAGGTCTAACGCACTCAAGTGATGCATGCACGTAACAGCAATGAAGCAAATGGTATCGCAGATAAATGCTCATTGTACGAAAACAATAATTATGAAAAGAACGATAGGACTTATGCATACTAATAATGATATTGGAAAACAATGAACACATTTTGCAAGATCATCTAATGGTTTGTTGAGTCATAGGCCCGCGTTGAAAAACATTACTTTCTAGACCGTGGATGCCCGAACAGTCGTATTTATGTCTTCATTCGTACGCAGAATACCGGTTTCCACTGGGAGATCTCGGACTTTGGATTCTTGTGCGCGTACACGATACGCTTTGTCGCCGAACTTCTTGCGCTTACGCGATGCAAAGGGCCCCGGTAACCGGGGATTTGAAAGTCGCGGGGAGGCCAAAAAACGGGACTGCTCGGGGACCAGTCGGCGAAACGAAGGATTTCATTAGGGCCCGCCCTTCCGGCCTCCTCGGCGATTCGCGGTTTTTGCCGATACCTTTCCGAATCGTCTCGAGCGAAAAAGTAATAAGCGCGATCGGGAATCTCAGATCGTGCCGACTTTACTCGTTACGCTCGCTTCTTTTAGATTGAACAGTTGGTAAAACTAGATAAGCAAGGGGTAAGCGTTACCCTTCGCGACGAGTTTAAATTAGTGAGTGCACTCGACGATTTTCGTGCGCAGCCTATATTCTCGTGGCCGTAACAAAGGTATCGCGATACCGCGCCGTATGGAAAAATATAGGAATAGGAGCAGTAACGACTCACGCGGTTCAGCCCTTGCGAAGGAGGAAAAATATTATCGTGTGCGTGTACCGATCGATGAGACGGGGGGGGGATAAGAAGACTGCCATAAAACCTGTGGAAAACGTTGGAAAGCCCGTTGAAAAAAGACCGAGGGACGGTCGAGCGTGGCACACATCGTAATTTGCAAGTTATTTTACGCGGGTACACCGATCGGATAACGAAACCGCGGGACGGACACAGATCGTTATCGCCTCGTTCTCGAAATATTCCTCTGGGGCACCACCTCTAACGTAAGTCCAGGATCGTACACTGAACGCAAGACGTAACCAGAGAGTGCTCTTCACAGCCGTTTCATGCATGATCGATCGCGTCTATCGCTGGCCAAAGGGACTCCAAATGATTATGTCGGCTTCGCATATACAGTTTCCAAAATTGTATTGCTAGCAAATTCTTCGTATAAAAGCAGAGGAATATGGAGTACAATTTTTCACGATACGTTCTTTTATAATACTATTACTAACTAATAAGGATAATTTCTATTATTAATCCTTCGTATGCCTAATATTTTTAATGAAATGAACAATCAGATTCACTTTGTCATTTGAACGTAATACGAATGTTAGATATCTA